CAGCCAGTTGATGGCATGTATATTCTTAAGTCACGCTATTATTTTGATCAAAGAACTTTGCGCAGGGTTTAAATCAACATTAAAATGTTGCTCTAAATTTAGATTAAAGAAATTGCAATTATTTGTGTTTTTCGTTTCATCAGTAATTAATTTATCGAGTATAAGTATTGCTAGGTCTTAACCTAAGATTTTCAAGTGGATAATTTTCACAAATCCTGTTTTATTACATTTGTTCATTCATATTATGTAAGCACCTTAGTATAGGTTCCAAGTATATATGTCGTGGCCAGATCATAGAATTGACCTATTCCCGACCAGATCAATGAATGATTTGTATGACTTCTTCATGATGTGGCCAAAGTAATTGATCATATCGTTAAATAATTACGTAAGTCTCATTAAAAGGCGCTGATGTCGCATTGTTTATGTGAAACATTATTTATTTTAATTTTTAGGTTATACAAAACATTAAAGAAAGTAGGGTGACTAAGCAACGGAAAACAATTTAGTGAGATAAATATAGGAGTGCAGTGCGAAGGCGCAGTAGCAAAAGCTATTTCTATAGTTTTATGGATATGTCGTAGGTTATGATAAAGACAGGATTGTGACCAAGTTCCAGAGGATGATAAAGATATATTGGAGGATATACCTAAAAGTTTTTGAGATATGAACTGAACTTAAGTTTCTATATGCGTATTCCGTAACGATCGTATTAAATTTAGATTTTTTCAGACCACTAAATCATAACTCTGACGAATAGACAAGCTATTTTAGAAAATAATTAGATTTATTTTTTGGACACCCTACATTAATGATACGACCAAAGGTAGATTGACATATCATTTAACGTTGACGCTTAAATGATATGAACAAATGGCCTGCCGGACTTTACGTGCCTTCCGAAGCACGGAGTAGCTCGAGATACTCAATTTTAGGTCACACATTCCGTGACTGACCTTTGTGAAAGTTGCTTAACTACAACGACCGCGGGCCGCGGCGCTTACCCACTACGCGACTAAGTGACTCGAAAAATGAAATATTTTTTTTTCGATTAAGATTTGTGTTAACTTCAGAACTGTTTTTTCCATCTGTATTTCAAATTGGATTGGATTGGATTAATATCTCTAAAGGTTTCAAAGATAAAGTGCTAAAACAATAAATATTTGTTGTTTTTTTATTATTGTAGTATCTTCGAACTTAAACATCAAGGTAATTTCATCATCAGCTCGAAAAACAACAGCTATTTTGGAAAATGTATGCTGCCCAAAGTTTACCCCGCGGACGAAGTCGCGGGCGAAAGCTAGTCTGTATATAAAAGAGAAAAGACAAATTGACTACATTGAAGTAGAAATATGAAGCGTCATAGAAAAATCATGACTGGAACGCTCTCAAGGGAAATGTGTTTTTATACGGTTACGGCCGCGTTATCATTCCAAGAGCATGTTTGTGACAAATAATAATATAAAAAAAAATATGACCTTGCCGAAATACATATATTTAAAGAACAAAACTATTAATCTAAATCCAACTTGTTCCGTCATATGGAAATCACCTTATTATGTTCAAGTGCTAGTGCCTAAAAACAGGGGCAAAAGGTGTTAATTTTGTTCCCGTTTCAAAATTAGGTTAATTTTTGTATAAAATTCGTTATTACCGGTTTTTTTTATTATTAATGTATAATTAAATAAAGCGAGTTCATTAAACAATATATAGGGATTATTATAATTGATCAATTTTTCATTCACAATGCAATACTGAAAAATATTCTTAATGTCCTGTTAGGTCTTGGTTAGCACAGTGGTTAGGGCAGTCGCCCGGATTGCGAAAGGTCATGGATTCAAGTCCCATCTCAGAATGCCAGGGACAAAGTGATTTTTTTAAAGTAATTTTCATTAAGAATATTTTTCAGAGCATTGTGAATGCAAAAATTATCAAATATAATAATAAGAACAAATTTCCACAAAAAAACGCAAGCGGAAAAACTACTGATTTCCTACATCGATTCGATAATACCTTTTTTCCGTACCAAAACTAAAATATTCACCAACGTTCACTATTTTCCCTTACTGTCAAAGCATCCATGAGTGATGCTTGAAGCCCTTTTTGCCATCTCATCTATTTAATGCCCAAAAGCCTATTCATTGTTGAAATGAAAAATGTTGAGTTGAAACTTGTCGGCAATAAGTCGGAATGCGGTTATTTCCAAACGATATATCTTATATATCATACTAATATTATTAGGAGAAAAGAATTGAATAGGCTCTGGAATTACGGGGTCGATTTAAAAAAAATATTTCAACTGCGGGCAGCTGCATCATACACGGAAAAACACAAACTGTATGAAACAACTTTGTAACTTATAGCAATGCTGTTACAATCAATGTTTGTCTTTATAACATGAAAAAAAATAGAAAATAGGAATCTTGCCTTTTCAGGAAAAGTTCAGAATATCTCAACTGTTTTATTGCTGCCATCAAGAAACTTCTCTTACAATCCGTCTGTCAAGGTAGACAGTAAAATTTACTATTTTACTGTTATTGTATAAATTTGTTGTGGTTATGGAAAGAAAACACCTGAGTTTACCGGTGTAAACTAAATAAAACGCTTACGTCACAAATAAGTAAATTTCCATGGGTGATATCTGAGCAAAGACATAGTAAGCCTGGTTTCTATTTTCTTATCACATGGGCAAAATCAAAAACAAAGTACGTAAATAAAGATAGACTTATTGATTTCGATAATTACGTGATTCAACACTAGCGCTCTAAACCAATTAGTAAAGCGTTTTTAAAATAAATATTCCTTGTAAATGAATATACGAGTACAATACATCTGTTCATGACCCAGAAGTGGGCGCGTGGAACGTGTTATTGAAGTGTATGAAAATGTAAACTTGTTTGCAATATTCAATATACACTGTTCGTATGTGATTTCACAATCCGTATCTCTGTTTATGTTAATATTTACTCAATATTATAAATGGCGGGAAGCAGCTTTGTTTGTTGATTTGCCAGTAAAATGTAGACATACATTCCATGATTTGATGGTGTTAATAACAATGAGTTTATATATTGTCTGATAATACTAACTTGATTTTTAAGGGGATAAAGGAACGGCTTTCTTCCCTCTTGTTAAGTAAGTTGTAATGAAGATTCCAAGTTAGTGTTGTTAAAATTAACTATCGACAGATAGAAGCTTGGAATTATAAGAGTTTTAATGAAAAATACTTAAAAAATCATCTTGGTTCCTCGCACCTTGAGATGGGATAGGATTTTTTTTTAAAAGTATTTTTCATTAGGTATATTTTTCAGTATATATTGAGCAAATATCGTAAATGATAATATTATAAGTAGCAAAGATTTTATCATTTGTTTGCATCAAATAGACTCCGAAACTGCTAGACTGATCTAATAAATTCTTTCACCTACGGGAAGCTACATCATATACGGTGGCCATAGGCTATATTTTATCCCGAGAAACAATAATAATAAACGGATAAAAAAATTGATTGTTTGTTTGTATGTTTGTTTGTTTTCATGAAATAGGCTCCGAAACTACTGGACTGATTTAAAAAAAATCACCTATGAGAAGCTACATCATTATATGCGGTGAACATTATATATTTATTTATATATAGGCTGTATTTTATCCTGAGAAACAGCAAATAAACGGATGAAAATGAGAGTGAGATTTTGTAAAGGGAATTAAAACGTAGCCATAGTAACCATAGTTTACTATTTAATTTCTTATTGTCTTATGAATCGATATCCAAATAAACAGTTCCCTAGGGATCACGTGGGCGAAGCCGCTGGCGGAATGCTAGTATATGATAAATTTAGCTGCCCACATGTATACTAAGAGAGACATAGAATGAGTCACTCCTTTATTTGAAACTAATTAGGTACGCTCAATATTTAGTCCCAATCCCAATTACATAAGAATGGGTTCATCATCATCATTTGCCCTGTTACGTCTCTGCTGCAGAGGCTGAGACATTATGAATAGTTAAGAATTAAGAACGGGCCATAAAACTCCACGGTCCCAATGTCCCAATGCGGATTGGAAAGTATTACTGCAAATGCAGCCTGGAGCAACGGCTTAACGTGCCGGCCGAAGCACAGAGTAGCTCAAAATAGTAAGTTTTTGGTATCTCAGATAGTAATACTAGTAAGGATTGATTGTGCAATATTTCTTATATTGTCCGTTACAATAGCAGGGTCCGAATACACTTGTTGTAAATGAACCGGCATCTCACATAGATATTAAGGTATGATTATAATTCAAGGCCCTTGTTTCATAAACATTATTTACTTCAGGTGGGTGTTATTTATAGGTGTGTATTATTGATCTAGGGTAAGAAGGTATTCAGATTACCTCTATAGGTATATGTCAATGATAAAGTGATAAAATATAATACAATACTTTATTGTGTTACACCACATTAATACGAATTAGTCACGTAATCACCACATAGGCCGTCTATTTCTATGCATATAAACATAGGGCGAATAGGCGAATATCATTTCTGTTTGTTTTCATTGTTTTGTCATTGTTTTATTGACCAATGATATGAGTGCGCCGAGGTTGCCAGCAATTTGCGTGCTGACCTTATTGACCAGTTTACACGAGCAGTAGGTATAATTTTTTTTTTTTAAAACAGTATATTTTTTACCAGTGTCTCAATTTTTGCTATGGTTTGGAATAGTTAATAAAGCATATATACGAAGAGTTTCTCATTTTGTTGAAGTATTTGTTACAAAAAACTGAAGACAGATAACATTCATGTAATAGATATGATAAGCACAAACGTGTTAAAGGCATCTTTTTTATTTTTTCTCTGATATTAGGTAGTAGGTTAAAAGAAGAGAGAGAGAAAACGTGAATTTGATCGACTGTATAGAGAACACTATATTGAATTTTGTACATTGATTCCAATTTTTTACTGTTTATAAGCAAACTTGATAATAGAATTGAATATGATATGGACTTTTACTTATCAGGTTGTGTGAATATTCCTCTCCGCGAAATACCTTCTACGGGAGTGGAGAGTTGGTACAAATTGGAGGCTCGGTCGCAGAGGTCGTCGGTCCAAGGTCGCATCAGGCTTCGTTTATGGCTCTCTGCCAGGGAGGCGGGCCGCCACGACGATGACAACTGGCAACAGGTAGGACAACGCTTTTAGGCTACGCCTTCAACAGCTTTCTAATCAAAATTTCTATGATTTTTGTCACTTTTTTTTCTCTTTATTTATTTAGGTTTATCAGAAACAAATAACATTATTTCTACCGTCTATGGATCATCTTATGACTAAATTTTAATGTATTTGCTATGTAAAGGCAAACACAGACATTAATTAATAATAATGTATAATAACATCACAACTAACATTACTAAAAAAAAAAGAAACTAAATTTTTTTACTGTTGATATACCACTTAAATTTTCTCAAGCTCATAGCGAGGACGTCAATGACGTCAAACTTTTATAGTTTGTTTGCTTTATTTCCTATTATTGTGCATCGAAGTCTTTATAATTAGGGATATATTATCATCTATATAAAATGTAAGTATGTACGTGAACCACGAATTGTTTATTTATTATGGAGGGTAGTCCGAATGGGCTATTACAAAGCCCAAATAGATCGTCCATATCGGAGGATTATTTTTAAAATAACATTGCTGGCGTGTATACCGACGTGGATTTGTTCCATTTTATCACTTTTCATACGAAAATATAACGAGATGAGCGTGATGTCGTCGAACGTCTTTACTCCTCGGCGATCGGAAACAAAATGTGTGAAAAATGGCGGCAATTTGTTTTTTGTTAACGAACTGTCAAAGTCAGTGTCACCATTTTAATAAAATTAAAAGTATCGATGATCACGCTCTCTCTACAATCGAGTAATTAAGTAATCGAGTAACTAGCAATTAAAATAAAAGAAACCAAATCAAACGATCTTCGTAAAGATGATGCGACATACAGTATTCACAAGCAAAATTTTCACCCATTCATTATTGCAGGTATTATTTAATTTATCAGTTACAAATTATAAATTACGACAAAATTATATTTATATTATCAAATCACCGTTTAATTATGTCCAATAACGCGTCAATGATATCAGGAAATTAGATACAAACTCAGATCTCCATCTCAGATTAAGATGGGTGCTGAACAGGAAAATGGAATACTCGTTGAATTTAAAACAAATTACGGATTTATTACGGATTCTTCTCGATACAAGGTCTTCTACCAAGCATTGCTAACGGATTCAATAAATGATATTGAATTTGATTAATCAATAATATATCTGAAAACAAGGCTAGTAATGAAACATAAGTTAGCAGTTTATTTAAAAATAAGGTAGTCGCGGATGATTAATTTATGATTGTCATTATTAATAATAACTAGTGGCCGCCAGCGACTTCGACCGCGTTTTCCATTATTTCTTCTCTGATATTCCCTAATAGTTGGCAGCGTGATGTTAGATAGCCTAAAGCCTTCCTCGATAAATGGTCTATTTAACACGAAAATATTTTTTCAATTCGAACCAGTAGTTCCTAAAATTAGCGCGTTCAAACAAACAAACTTTTCAGCTTTATAATATTAGTATAGATAAAAAAGAGAAAAAAATAAGATCTCGGTGGCACAGTCGAAAGGGCAAGAAGGCTGAGCGTGAGACTTTCCCAAGCCCAGAGAATTCAGGAACCTCCACATTTCCGCTGGGGAGGAGTTAGTAATGTTTTTGTGAATGTAATGGCGATTCTCTCTTCTTATCACCTGGTTACAACTGTTTCTCCCATTTCTAAATGCCTCCCAGTTTGTATCAAGTACTATACCTTTTATAGATATGAAACGCTTTGTTACGTCTACGCATCATAATGCGCACGAAAGGGCTAATCCACAATGCAGGAGATTGTTTCAACAGTCTTGACTAGAGCATGATCATCAAAAAGCTTGAGGACTATGTTAGTAAACCTGGTAATCTTTCATTTTCTGTGGCGACATTGCATATAGAAGACCAATCCCGGCCCTTGCAAAAGTTGCTTACCTAACTCTCACATCGTATCTTAACGCGTATACCACTGTGCCATTCTGATATACTTTATATATTTATCACAATGTTTTCCCTTTTTTAACTCTTTTTTAAGAAGAAGAAATGTTTTCAGAAGTACTAATAATTATAGTTCATTTGGATTTCCCAAGGACAAAAATAAATAGGTCATTTCTAAAGTCAAACCTTTACATACATAATTTTATAAGTACGGGAACAATAGAAAGAATAAATAAAAATACGTATTCCGTGAGGTCAGACGGATGTGTAATCGGAAACCGAAGTACTTTTCCGACTGCGAGGATAGTAAATTTGTAACAATCGCCGCTGCGAGCTTCTTTCGTCTCCATTAGTCTAATTTTACGGCCAAATGCTCTCGATATTAATAACATTCCCCCATTTGCGTCATAAAGACTCGTGTATAGATATAATAACATAGACTATTACGACAAGAATGATAGTGTATATCTGTCCATATTGCTAATCACCGTCCTAATCACCGCATCGTCCATAAACAATTTTATTGAGTTTCTGCTGCTTCACTATTGATCTCTCGAGTTTCAGCTCTTCTGTATAACGCACGGGTCATATGAAGTACATTATGTAAAATTTGTAACTCTTGAGAGATTTTTCCATTTTGATAATAATAGTTTATTATTTGAAATGATTTGAGAAGATATATATATGTCGCAGGCATTTTGTATGAATCTGCTGTTTACATATGGCGTCGTCAGTTTAGAAACGCTCGCTGTTAAGTAATTTGCCGAAGGCAAAATGATAACTCGTTCAATTGTTATAATTTTAATGTTAGTTGTGTTTTAGGGTGACCATGAAGAAAACACAGTTTGGAATATCAGATTTTATATCAGCAATTATAAGTATGCGCTTTGGTTGTCATAAAGTTACTTACACTTACTTACAAAAACGACATTTATATGATAACCAATAATTAAATAATAATTAAATTTCTTAAGATGATATGATACTATCAAATAAAAACAATTAGGTGGTTACATTAATAATTTTTTGAAGTCTTGACATATTCATATAACTTATATGACATTTCAAAGTTACCAAATGTTACTATTTAAAAATATATTAATTTTAAATTGTCCTTGTTATAATTTTTAATGTTTTGGTTAGTTCAATATGAATGTAAAATCCGTATTTCAACGAAATCACTTAATATTTCCCAAAAGAAAAGGATATTCAATATTGTAAAAAGAAATCAAGAATAACAATAGGCGGATTTCAATAATTAAATCAAGAATTTTATATAAATATTTATTTGCGCATATCAAACTTGAGTGACATTTGGACCCACTAAGAATATTCTTTTTAAAACACGCAGATCGGTTATTTTAACACTGCCTTTTAGCCGACTTGCATAAACATTTGCTAAAACCTTTTCCGACAAAAAAAGATTCTTTAGAAACAGAATCTCTTAAGGATATATTTAAAAGAATTTCTTACACCAAACTTAAACCAGTTTTTGATAATCCCATTATTGTGCCAATTTGGTGAACACCGTGTCTCATGTCCAATACTTTTCCAGATATATTTAGTATCTAAGGACCCTCTATCAATTTTTGGGAAGTTAAAAGAAAACGATATCTCCAATATCTAGAGCTGCCTTGATGCAGAAAATTTTACACATCAAATACAAACATTTGCTCATAACCTTCTTTACCAATTGTTTCTCCGCAAATTATGTGAACTGGTTTAAGACATAAACATTATTTATGGGCATCACTAGTTCCGTCTTTACATACAAAGCTTCAAGGGTAGTTAAATCTTTTGAATTATGATTTCAAGGGTAGTTAAATGTTTTGAATCATATATGATTGGTAAAATAATGTTGTTTTCATCATTTGATGACTCACTTGTATGTTGAAGAGAGGTGCTGCTATTAGTGATATTTAAAAAGGGATTAATTGGCACAGGCAAAGTAATTAAGTCATTAGAAAATATGATAACAGAACTGTTTGTGACTTGGGCAGATTAGTCTTGAGTCTCATCTGATACATTTTTCGAATACACATCCAAAGAGCTGTCTAAAACTAAATTCCTATTTTCTACTGGCAGCACAGCGATGGAAGTAAGTTTACCTACGGGAGGTGCATGATTTGTCATCATCGTCTCTTGAGTTATTTTCATTACCTATATTTTTGAAATCATCAATATTTGAAGTCTCTATAAATATCGAATATTATTTACTTATTTAAAAAAAAATGAAGTCATAATAATCTTCTAATGTTATTACACGAACCTTTGGACTATCAGGGCTATCTTTTTAGGATAAGGTAGTCCACATCACCAATACTCATAATCTCATGTTTTTTTATCAATAACATTGGGCAGGCGTCCTCGGAGTGCCAGATTCTATGGACACCTCAGCATTTTTAAGGTGACGGATTACATCAAAAATCTTCTCACTTGTCCACGGCTTTTTATAGCTCCCGCTTGTATATCTTAATATTTTTTTTTAAATTACTTAAGTAATTGTCTTTAAAATCACAAGTATTTTGCAAAAATTCTCCAGAACACGCAGTATTTGCACTATTTTCAATATCTTTTTGTGTCACAAAACCACTGATTGCTGCCATTTTGTTTGTTATGATCAACAACGATGCGAGTAGTACAAAACAGAACTAATTATTTAATTTGCCGCGGTATTATGTAGATGGCGTTTGAACTATCAATCTAATGTTTAGGCATAATATATTATAATGAATGGGCAATATACATTTTTCCTTCGGCATATTACATAATAACGAGCGTTTCTAAACTGACGATGCTGTATGTAAACGGCGGTTTCATTCAAAATGCCTGCGACATATATATATACGATAGAGATATATATAAATATCTTTTCAAATAAATATATATATAAGTATATGTATATATTTTAATAAATTATATTATAGGCAATAATATATGTATATTGTAATAATTTTAAGCCTAACCAACATAATGATACTATAATTTCATATCTAAACGATTGACGCCAGGAAAATAAAGTGATTTTTATATCTTGCAACTTAAATGCAACAACTCTTTACTTTTGAATAATTATAGATCAGAAAGTTGATAATGTTCTGTTACTGACGTCTAACAAATTGATCTAGCAATCAAAGCGGAACGACTTTATATTTATTCTAATAACTAAATTGGTAGAGTTTACTTGAAAAGCATTTTCATTTGCTTGTTGTTTGTTCTGCAACAATAATTAGTTTTTCAGTAAATGTAAGAGGTATCATTTTGGATAAAACCAAACATATTCTCTTAATAAATAAAGTAAAAAGTTAGAAAAAACAAAGTCTGAAAATATTTTTTATACAATAATATATACAATAAGCATTCATCACAGAAAGCATAAATTATATTTTTAAAAGCTTGGCCAACCACTTATTACTTCAATGACATAAAATAGTTCCTACGCCTTTTTTTCAAAAATAGGTGCCACTTCAAATTACTCAAATGGCATTATTTATATATATATATATATATAATATCTTTTAAATTATAGTCTATATCAACGTATGATGTAACTATCCGTAGATTAAACAATTTTCTTTCCTCTTTATAACATTAGTAAAGAAAAAAATTACGAATAAACACCACTACTAGAAATCTAGTATTTTTCAAACTCAATATTTGGCCTTTAATCTTGGAAGGTATTTCAATTCTGGCCTTTGTTTCAATAATAGCAGAATGTTATAGTCACTTGACTATTTTGATAGACAAATATGCTGTTGATCGTACATGCTATGTATTGATATCGCTATGCGACCGGGGTGCCCTTGTCCACACGGTCCATCGCCCTTTTTGTTATTTTCGCCCACGCTTGTTCAACTTATTTACTTAGTGACTTAAATCTGATTATTATGTATAGACTCTAACGGCTTGTTATTAGCTTTCAATTTCCGTTAACAGTGAATGCAGACCTACCCGAAAGCTATTTTGATTAATGTGATCAACGAGTACTTATTTGCATGATATTTTGAGACAAACAACATTTTTTAAATGTATCCTTCGGACGAAGTTTCATATATAAATAGGTTTTGTGGAGACGAACTGTATTGATTTTTAGAAGGGTTTTGTATTATAAAGAGTACGCATAAAGCTGACGAGAAAACTAGACGGAATGACGAGGCTCGTCAATGAGACAGTTTATTGTTATTCTGTTATAAAATCGGCCTGGAACTCGACGTCGAGCACAACACTGCGACAGCATATAACTTCAATGAAATAAAATCTTTATTATACATCCATTTGAAGTAGCTTTTTTTTTAATTTAATTAAAAGCCCATGTCGTGATAAAGCTTTGCTTGATGTCGAGTTCGTGGCTGAATTTCTTACATAATAGCCCTGCACAACGAAATAAAGTGCGGCAAAAATATTTAATTGCGTAATTACTCGCATCGCTTGGAGTAGACATTGGCAAGTTTAATATCATTGAAATTTTAAAGATTTTATTTTATCGATAAATATATTCATAATTTTAAACTCAGTATCTTCACTAACAAACTGATATCACATAAATATTAGGTAACAACACATAAATTGTTCAGATTTACAAGCTAAGAGTGTCCACCCAGAGACAATAAAAAACTAATTTTATTTCCTATATGGACTGGTGAAACACCAAACTTGTCAGCGTGTGAGTCATCAGCTGATGAAAATGTAATTTCTCGTGTTTAAATAACAACTGAGATATTTACTGTTCTGTTTATAATCGATTTTGACATTGTCCCGCTCGGACATTAATATTCGCCTCGCTAGTTTTCGTTATTTCGGCGCTGTTACAAGCGCCATGATCACGATGTACAGCCAGCGCGATATAGAAGTTTAAAACAACATACATTAATTTTCTTAAAAATAGTATCGACTGTATAATTAAAATTAATAAATAAGATGAATACCATACATTTAAAAGAAAGTAGTAATGTATCACTGTATTTGTGGACTATCCTAATGTGTTTATTAAAAAAATACATGCGATTTAAAAAAAAGTTAAAAAATATCTATCGTGTAACTTGTTTTCTACTCATTTACTAAATGTAAACGTTGCTATAAATATTAGTAGCTTTACTTTTAATTAAAAATAAAAACTATCAACACAGAACCTGTAAAGGGTTCGAAACGTTAATAAAACTAAATACAAATGCGATGAAACTCTTTAAAAGTTGTTTAATTTATGGATAGTGCGCACGAAAATATAAGAAATCAAAAGTAATCAAACATTGTGAATTCTATCCACAAAGTTATAGATTCTTTAAGGTCATAGTACATTGAAACGACTTAACAATAGTATGGCATTGTCTCTCTTTTAAATACTGCTGCCAGTGCGCAAGCCACGCGCCACTCGTGAGGTACAAGCTCGCACACCCCGAATTGCAAACTATTACTGACGCTTGATGGGCGACTCGCTGTTGTTGGGCGCAACACGCTTGAAACGCACTTCAACTTCAACAACAACTTCAATTTGATAGCCCGCCATAAGTTCTTGACATCAATTTATATGAAACTAAATTTAAATCGGAACCGTGCTTTATGTTACTTTAGCCCAAGAAGTTTATATATTTAAAATTCTTACCTTAGCCTGTCTACTACCCCGTTAGTAATGTTTTATTGATCGAAAAACCTTTTATAAGACCGGTACTCACAACTAAATAGTCTTTCTACCATCAAACTGGATCTCTTTCATTATACAACGAGGCGGGGACAATTGAGTGACAAATAGAATAGTCTTGACAAGCTTTCTTGGCATAGTTCTCCCTTTGTTTTATGTTTTATGATAACGGCACAGAGATAGATTTTTATGTGAAGGTCGTGATAAATCTGATCGCTGATGCTTCGTAGCCGTTTCTCGACATGCACCTGTCTATTTTTGCTTTATAAATCAACTTCGTTATTAAAGTACTAACTATATTATAGAGAGAAGTTTTGTTCAGAAATTGTTCAGTGTAGTATTCGACCTCGTTAGCCTCCAAGGTGATCACTGCCGGTGCATTTTAACGAGTCTATTCGACATTGAGTACCAACTTTTTAGTCATCTAAAATAAATCACCTAAGACTCAATAAGGTATTCAGCGGGTGGAACTCTCTTTTAGACCCACGTAATCAAGTGAACGAGCGAGTGGAGCGAAATTGCAATTACACGATATAAATCGAATTCATTCCTCGTATCGTAGGTCGTAACATCGATAGGAATAACTCGAGTTAGCTCTGAAAATTTTCACGGTCTTATTTCTAAAGCTAGGTATACTGTGCAAAGTTAGAAACTGTACTAGGCGTTTATGTTAAAGTTATCCTCGATCTCATGCACAGATACAACTCTTGCTTGTAACTTCACATAAGCTTTCTGAGTTAAGCTAAAACTCGCTAATATACTACCGATATGTTTTTAAAAGAAAAAAATCTTTAAAATTACAACTTCTTAATTTTAGAGTCTTAAAACTGCTTTATGTAACCCGTTAGAAGTTTTTTTTTTTTTGTAACTGGAGAATTGTCAGTGTTTAGTGACGAAAATTTATTAATAGTAAAATACGATAGCCCGTGATGAAATATGCGTGATCCAGTGGAGCCGGAAATAGAATATATTATGATTCGTAACTGCTTCTGAAGTCCCGGGTTCGATTCCCCTATAGGTCGATGTATAATATTTATTTATAGTCTAATATTAATTTACGATATTATTTAATACAATCACTAAAACAAGCTGTGGTCACAGGTACGACAGCATGAGCGTCTATTCGGTGTCCTGCTCGCTCACGAGGTAGAAACAGCGGGCAGCGGAGTGTCCAGTGGTGAAAGTGACAGTGGTTCAGCCTGGGAGGGCGAGCTTTGTGGCCCAGCGCAGACACTACTACATCAGCATGCGATACAAGGAGACTTAAGCGCGTTACAAGCGGCTGTAGCTAGATTTGCGGCAGCCTGCAGACTTAATAGTGATGCACCTCTTGACCCTAAGTAAATATTAAATATAGGGTTATTTAAATACCGTTAATCTCGTAGGATTAGATAACTACGATTATAGCCATATTTGATATATAAATTAAATATTTTGAAGAAAAAAAAAATGCTTTTAATGTCACTATTGTACTGTCTGTTAGTTATCAATATATCAAATGATTTAAAATAATATCTTTTATATAATACATTCATGCAAAATAAATGATTAAGTACTAAATTAAATTAATATTTTGATTTTGTATGAAAACAAAATATAACAAATAATATCAACTCATAGGACAAGTATTGTAATTTATGACGTTACCCTTTATTGGTAATTTACAGTTAACCCTGTATATTGTTTGGCAACATTATTAAACAATATTAAATTCTTTTTACATTTTATAACTGAAAGTGATATAACAATAATATCCTGATAGGAAAGATACATAGAAGTCTTTGCCTGAAAGTTTCTCTCCTGAGAATCTTTAATTTTCTATTATACACAGTAGAAATATTATTATTTATTTAAATGAAAGAAATTTTGTATTACTAGGTATATGTGTAAGCTGCTGACTGAGCTGGAGAGAGCTTGGTGTGCGAGCGAAAGTTTGAGCGGGGGGAGTGGTGAGAGCAGCGGTGTGTCGCGAGACGAGGAGCGATGGCTCGCCGATTGCTTCGGGGAATTCGTAGAGCGTGCGCTTCACCAGCTGCGGCTACATAGGGATCTCTATCCTGTTTTACACCATCACAGCTTAACAAAGTATGTAACAGTGTTGGTTTCAATAAATTTGAAAATATTGTTAATATCGATATAAGTATACAGTAAAACCTCTTTCTTTATAAGATAAATTTTATTTCGCTATATACTATAAAGGAAGTTATCTTAAACTCAATTTTTCGAAATTGTGAACTTCATTGTACTCTCTACTATATAGTTTAAAAAATATGTAAGTAAATGTGTCGATTTTGAGAATTCAGCTAGAAAAACATAAATTAATAATACCAGTCAACACATTGTGTTCGACGTCAGGTTGTTTATTATTATAATTTTTGGATTTGTTCAGATGTTTAAGCTTCTAAATAGATCTAAAATATACTTACTAATTATAGTGGAACATTAGAACATAATGAGAAGTAACTCACTGTGTAAAAGCATCTGGTCAACTGATTACTTCGTGGAATTTAAAAATTTACTTTTACGATTTTATATTATATATTTTTATTCCAAATTATAATATTGTGATAAAACCATATATGATGATAACACTATTGTTTATTTTCTTTCGGAACTTCGGTCTTATTTATAGAATTTCAATTTAAAGTCTTCTCTGAATAGCAAAATGTTGTAATAAGCTATAAGATATACTAACGCCTTAAGATTTCTTCCATTTCAATTTTCGGAAAAATATGGCGTCACGCTAATCTGATGAACTAAATTGGGAACTCGTCAACGAAGTGACAGGCTGTTAATAATCGATAAATCCTTACTTACATTTCATGTTTACGTTTTATATCACAGCGTAAAAAAAGTGATAAATTCCTCTGCGGCTTTTTAAAAGGAGGAATAATTAATTAGGAACCTATCACGATACTACCAAGGGCTCAACTCTCTAGCGGTATTAATTGGCTACCTACTTCATTAAATATGAGGTTGTAAACAACTGGCCGTAATTCAATAATAACCTCTCTCTCTTTGACATTTTACCGATTTTATTTCATTACATAACTCAAAAGGTAACGCTGTTTTATGTAGGTACTCATAAAATTGGTCATAAACAAGCCTAATTACACGTGCAAATTTAAATTCGTACTTCAATTATTATATTGTTTATTAATGTTTTAATAAAAAATAAACTGGCAGTCAAAACCTGTTTTTGAATTTAATATCTAAATGCATTTAGACGTTCGAGATCACTTCGAAATATAACAAATAAGATGTTCATATAATAAATCCATTCGTTTCAAAAGTATGTCATTAATTTAATCTAATAAACTTTTTAACTAATGCCATTAAAATGAATATTTGAACTTTGGGACTTTGGTCGTTTTAATAATGACGTAAAGTAACTTATTGTACACAGATTGGAATATCTACTGCGTTGCTTGAGTCATCTGTCACAAATGAAGGCTTTCTGGAGATGTTGCCCCTTCAACAAAGAAATCAGGCAAGTACAATTGAAGTTTTGAAGAGTGGAAAGTTTCCCTGATGATAATGAACTTTTAATCCAAAATTAATTCTTTGCTTTTATAATTTACATTCAAATGACGAATCTTTGTCGATTTCATTGAAGAATTATCATCCGAATTCTTATTCTTAGTGAATTTTAATTGCTAAGATAATAAGGATAATGGTTATTCAATTTTCCTTTAATATTAATTTATCTCTAATCTTATGAGCTTAAAGAAGATTAATATATTTTAAGATTAGGAAAAACACAACCATTTCATAGCTATTCCCAGTATCTATCATAAACTCGGGATTTATTTTTATTGTTTGAGGTGGATCAGGATATATTTTAAATAAAAAAATTAAAGCCATTTTTCCCATTTATTATTCGTAGTATTATAATAAGAGATGGATTTATCGAGAAACAGGTTTTATATCCTTTAATTTGAACGGAGATTTATAACAATAACACATAAAATATAATATAAAATGTGCAGAGCATTTACATTATTAAGTAATGAATTTCTCGTTTAAAGTTGTTAAGCTTTTCACATTAGTTTAATACTTGCCTAACATGGTAAAATGAAATGAAAATGTTTTTATTCAAGTAAGTTTGTTACAAGCACTTTTGAATCGTCCAAAAATATTTTTTCCCCTACCACTTGTTCAGGACGTCTTTTAGCTGACAAGAAGAACAAGCGAAAGAAACTTACCAGCTTTTTATCATAAGTAATGACATTTACAGAAATCATGTCATTACCAAAATAATACATATATTTAACAATAATAAATACAAGTTTCAAAGTCTGTAGGACATAGGTTGGTACATACCTATAATTAATCGTTATAGAACAGAGCGAAGGCTATTAATTCCATGCATTGCGGTTCTTGAAATAATCATTATAATAGCCTTTGCTCATAAGTATATTCTTTACATGAATAACTACGCGTTTATGCGCCTATTATAATTATAATATTTTCAAAATCACTTAAAATATATAAATGGTTTGACGTAGTGTGTCATTGTCTTCGTGTAAAATATTTATTCTATTTATTAATTACATGGTCTTCGTTCGTATTGTTTGTAATGTAACTATTCTAGGACTGAAATCGTTGGCGCACTTCGCAAAGGTACGGCGGAGTGGTATGAAGCTCTTTGTGCGCAAGATACTGAATCTGAGAGAGGCGAGGACTTAGTCAACCTCATCACACTAGTGCAGATAGACTTGCAGCAAGGTCTCACCTATTACCACCCGCTGTTCGAAACGTAAGTTAATTTACAGCTAGTTTTATAGACGTCCATTAAATTGACATTAGTTTAAAGTGACATTACCCGTACTAAATTGACATGCATTAGTGCTAAAGGTATCATTAAGCGTTAATGGACGTTTGTTCAACTGACCATTAGTGCATTACATTCTACTAGGGTGCTCGTGGTGTGATATTAGAACATACACATACATCCTTAAGAGTGCACTAAGGTACGTTTATATATTTACATATGAGGATATTGAACATCTTCTCCTAATTAATTTGTCTTTTTATAATAAATATTTATGAAATTTTTAAGCACTTTTCAAGCTACAGCCTCAATTTCAATTGAGTGATATAATGATTATCTTAAGAGTTAGATTACTTAAGTATAAAACATTTTTATTTCATCATCATCACCATCACCAGCCCTTTTACGTCCCCACTGCAGGGGCTCAGGCCTTCCTTATGGATGGTTAAGGAGGATGGGCTATGACTCTCCACGCTGGCCCAATGCGGATTGGAGGGTATTAACGACTGCAAATGCAGCCGGGACGGGAAGCACGGAGTAGCTCGAGATAATAATTTTTTGGGCACCCATCCCGTGACCGACCCTTGCGAAAGTTGCTTAAAGACTACGATTGCGGGCCGCGGCGCTTATCCACTACGCCACCGAGATATTTTTATTTAATTTCACACAATATTCGTAGCACTAGTAGCTACGACCACAGACTACGACCGTCTTTGTTACAATCTTCGTAGTACTTACTACGTTCACGATGCTACGGGAATATTCTAAATAGAAATTAATTTTAAGCTGTGGTTATAGGCAAGATTTCTACAGTAAGTGTGCAACACTCAAAATGAAAGTAATTATATCAATTTTGTTACAGGACAAATAATGTTCCATACTTCAGTGTTGTTTTCACACAAATTGATAAAATGGTGAGTGCTTGATATCAGTTTTTTTTTAATATTCTATAGTCAATCTATGGCATTTATATAAAAATCTATTCAATGATAGAAAGACATTGTTTCTTAGCAACAAGTTATAATAATGAAAGCGTTGTAATTAATTTCAAAACTATTATTCATTTATATATAAAACTACATGTGCCTCGTGGTTTCACTTTATTATAGTATAAATATCTTTAATATATCCGAAAATTATTCACTTAAAAATATTTTTTTTATTATACTCATTTGATTTCAGATAGGCAAATATTTGTGTTATTGTATGCATGATAAGTACGTTTTGTTACGTATTCTCGAAGTTTGTGAAAATAAAATATGAACCTATTACAATTTCGAGTCGGACTTTTTACCACATTGCCGTTTTATACGAGCCCTACCTGAATAGAAATTAGATATGGTTCTTTAAAAATTTTTACAATAACAGTATGTATACGTATTTATACACAGATATTTGCCTTGCCCTAAAATGATATTATATTTTGTCCTAATGTTTAACAACACATATAAATATGTGTTGAATTTCAATGATTTTATATTTGCGTTTTGATAAGAAATAGTAGTTTTTTGTATATATGAAGTACGTGTTTGTGGAAGGAAGAAGGAATCACACCTTAACTATTAAATTACTTTTGTTAATACAAATTTTATATTATTATCATTATACCAGGCGAATTTGGTATTGTCCAGTTTATAAAGGAAAACAAAAGTCTCATTATAATATTTTAACATTTTTTTTTTCCCACCATGAAAACCCTCCTCGGACTTTAAATAACATTGAAAAAGGTGTCAATACATATAAAAATAATATAAATAGGAAAGTTTTATATGTCCAAATATAAAGCAGCATTAGCTACTAGCGTGTAAGATAGGCTAGGCAGATATACTAATGTTTTGTAGTTTGTAGCATTTCAATTAATTATATTAACCTGTATAAAGTATTATGCTCGGATGGAGAGGTCAGCGGGCACAACATACAAGCAACAATTTACTTATATCAAATTGATTTGTAAACAAAACAAACAATAAAAGAATAACATAGAATCTATGCATGAAGACACTGAGTAAAAGGCAAATTCATTGAATTCAGAAGTATTTTAAAATTAAGAATGACTTTAGTCTAAATCTACATACATATTATCAAATTTATAATGTTCATCATAGCTTAAAGGTTTAAATCTTAATGGACGTTTGCGAAACTAACCTTCTATACTTTTAATTAAAATAATAATAGTAGTCAATAATTTACAGACCCATTCTATACATTGGCTAATAAAGTACTCAATGTCTTTAACTACTGTAGTTGAACTTAATCGAAACTATATTTTAGCTAATGTATTATGATCAATTTTTCATTCATTAAGCTCTATTGAAAAATATTCTTAACGAAAATATTTAAACAATCCACTTGCCTCAGGTACTCTGCGATGAAACATATTTTAGCTTCCAAACCTGCCCACTATTAATATTTTAAAAAATCTAAGCCTTGTTGATTGTTAAGACTTTATGGGTTCATTTTGAGATTACATATAAATATTTTAGGGTATTTATCCCATCATTTATTTGTATAATATGACTACAATTCCTTAAAGGGAAAAGTAATTTCATCTCATTTTCTCAAGATCTTAAGTCGTAGATTAGCGGACTAAAGTCATAGATTACTGAACAAGTGTCCTTGGATTAAGGTTTAATCCTTATCTTATTGTGATGTCTCATATCACGCTCAATACAGGAGTGTATCTATGATAGGAGTAAGATAGGATAAACTTGAAAATTATTCGATCTATTTAATAAATCTTTCACTAATATAAACGTACATTCTCGGCTAGTAACACAAGCTATTTTATATTAAAAAATGGCGGCATGAAGTCTACGTTGTCAGCTAATTATAAGTCTTGATTTAGAATAACGTGCTTGGATTCAATGAATATATACTCAGAAATATTTTTTTATATACTTGATATATTGCTGTGAATATGTAATTGATCATTGTTATTTTCTAAGGTTTCGGAAGACGTCAGACAATGTGTGGAACACTGGATCAATGAAGGTTGGTGTGGAGTTGCAGAAGAAGAAATATATGACGAACAAGGATCTGGAGGTAATCTTGGAAAAGAAATTAAAGTATTTTTTGAGATCCCGTATTGCATGTAGTAAAAAAATTTAATAGTTTTATTAATTTTATATTAAATTTTCATTAAGATAAAATATACATATCGATTGGTAAATTGCATGCGAGAAGCAATGCACTATAGCCATCCACACCGTAGTAATAGCTAGCTTTTTCTTAATATAACCACAGAGACCCGAACAATATAAAATTTAATATATATTTATATTGACTTGGTTGATCTCTCATAGACCTTGAAAGCGTGCCTTGAAGACCTTGACCTTGAAATCTGATGCTTATAATTTTTATTATTATAATTGTTCGCAGTATATATAGTGTCAGCAAAAACGTTACCATTCGAAGTGCTTTCTGCGGTTCGTGAGTTGTTCGCAGCGGCTGCTCCCGCTCCCGCGCCACACCCCACACATGACCCACCACCGCAACTTCTCAACGCATACAGGTAAGTTTAATATCGCCATTTTGTATTTTTTTTTTCACATAACATTTACAATAAATCCTTAAAATTACTCAATTACATCATCGTCATGATTAGCCCGTTCCCGTCCCCAGTGCAGGAGGGCAGGCCTTCTTTATGGATGGTTAAGGAGGATGGGCCATGACCCTCCACGTTGACCCAAACCGGATTTGAGGGTTACAAATTCAGCCGGGACCAACGGCCTTAAGGTGCTATCCGAAGATCGGAGTAGCTCGAAATAATATTTTTTTGGTCACCCATCCCATGACTGACCCTTGCGACCCGCGGGCCGCGGCGCTTATCAATTACGCCACCGCATTACTCAATTACACACGTTTAATATGTTTCACTGTGTTTTCCACTGAGGGCAGCTCTAGAACACCTAGGAAAGAAGTCATTAAAAAGGGGGTAGGAAGTGGCATCATGTTTATTTTCACCAATAAAATGTTGCGGTATTATCTTTAAAACAAGCTTTGGACATTACTTTGGATCATAGAGGATATATAGATTCATCAAACGAGCGACGGGAGTGCGTTATTTAATAGCAAAGCTACTATGACTATCTTCCAAATCCATAATAGGACCCTAGATATTATATCGCACCATAGTCTGTGGTACGGCAAATCAAACGAACATGATGATGTTGCTTCATTTAATCATATCAAATAGATATTAAATTAAATGGAGTTGGGTCCATCGAAAATGGTAAAGTAGGTCAAATTAAGCTTTTGAGATTTGTCTCGCACTAATAAAAGTATTAAAAGCAAATTATAAATAACAATGTCTATTGTTTATTATTTTATATTAAAAATAACCTAGACACAGTCATATAGTGACGATATCAAAGTTCACAGTTCATAAATAAAAAAAAAAACAAAAGTTTCTTACTATAAAAATGTTATGTAGGTATATAACTCGGCACGAAAGTAAAACTTAATTAAACTTAACTTAATAAAACTGAAAATTAATACTTTTTACCCGGCGGTTTATAATATTCAGTAAATCCCGCAATTTTGCAAGTCTAATAGATATCCACTGTCTATTAACTGTATTATGTCACTGTAAGAATGTACACATCGTCAATTTATAATTTATCTGGTTAGATTATCACGATTCTACTAAGATTATAAATCGAAGATGCTTATAATTTTACGGCGGCATAATAACAAAATTTTATTGCCAATAAATAAAGACAAAAAAATACATCGTCTATGTATGCACAACATTTAATTACTTATATACATACTAAAATAAATACATTTGTATTATTAATGCAAAAAGGTAAGTAGCTAGTTATTTTTCTTCTCCGAAAAGGTAGGTTGAAGTGCTTATAAAGGGAAGAAATTCCAGTTCCCACGTACGCAACACATTATTACAATCTGGACCCTTGAATCTGCACCGTTAGGGACACATTTATCGTAACATACTTATAACACATATGTATTGTATTTACTAAATTCATTAAAAAAGGTAACAATAATTTCTTTCCATTGGTGTAAATTCAATTAGAAATATTAATCCCCTATAGTTACAATTATCGTCTCTGACTCTAACAATGATAATTATTATTGATGGAATAAATAAAAATACATCAATAATTATAGTTAGCTCAACATATTACGATATAATTCTTTCAAATTATTCTTTAATTTTACTAAAGATTAGTCTCTGAAATGATCAGAAAGACCAGATGGGCCGAGAATGTTTGGCAGCATATGTAAAATATCGTTTTTTGATTGTTTCTTCCCCAGGAAGTGTGGTAACACACCGGGTGAAAGAAGGCTATTGACTTGCAGATTTCATTTATTCGCATCAATTTTAATAGATAATGGAAATATTTCAATTAACATAAAAAACACTGTTCTTTGTGATGCAATATAATAAATGTCGTGCTTTTTAATTAGGGCTTTTAGTGTACTGATTAAATTGATAGCTTCTAAGTAACCTGCTTAATGTAGCAGATATAAAGTAGTGGTAAGTTATATTTACTTAAATAAATACACATACTAGCTAGCGTCTTCTCTAATTTTATGAATTCTTGATCTATCTAGTTTCTATGTAAATTTCCAACCCTACACTAAAATACTAAATATAATTTTTACATATTGAAATTTATTCTGCATACGAATATCTTTAACATCACTGAATAAGATTCCTCGAGCGACGTAAAGGGACATTTTTAACCCAAAGGAGAAATAAGTGCTTGAAGTAACGCGTATAATTGTGGAAACAAATTTTGATCCTATTTGTTAGTAGATACAGTCCCTAATAATTTAACGGCGTCTCGACTGATCAATTACTAAGAGAAAATACTAATGTTGGGTGGACACGGTGGAACAGATATTTGGTTCGAGTGTTAGATATTAACAACAATAGGTACGTAAAAACCTTGTATACACCCAACACTAGTAATGTAAACTGCACTACAGAATTCACGCCTCTTGTATTCTGAAACAGATTGCGTAGTTAACTAAGTATTATTACAAATTTTCATGCGGTCTTGAGAGGTCAATGTACGAATAAAAGACTTGAAAGATTCTGTTTATTAAAGTTTTGTGTAGGTAAGCTGGTTGAAGTATGGCGATGGTCGTTGAAGACTTTACTTCATTTAGGATTTTACTAGTTAAAATATATATAAAAGAAAAACAAACAATTCTTTAACATGCCTCTTTCAGCAATAGCATAACTTGATGTATTATTTAGTGAACTATTTGATCGTGTTACGTTTGTCACGGAAACTTACGCTTGTTAGTTAAAAAGGCAATTACCGACTCTTATTAAGCAGTTAACACGCAGCTAAGCATAAACTGTTTTTAATTTGTTTTACTGTAAAACTATTGAAAGCAAATGTGTTGCAATAAAATATTTTAAACTGTGATATAATTGTACCCTTTGGGATACTTAGTTTGACCAGTACATAGTTGTAAAACTGACTGTTATACCAGTTTATAGAGAAAAGGAATAATTTGACATACTATACGTACGCATTTTAAAAAATAATTGATAGAAAACTATATTGAAAATTACCAGTTAAATGCAACGAAAACTCCGCCGCACCTTGGGACTATTTCGACGCTAAGGCGTTTCACAAACGTATTTGTGGAATACCAACAACCAGTGAAGTTTTATTTCTCATGATTGATATGAAATAAACCACTCCTTGTGCCAACGTAGACCTTTTCTTATCCAGAACTACCAACTGTCAACTACGTACTGATACTCAATTCAAAAAGGCAAAGCAAGCCGTGAAAAAAATTCGTGACGTTTATGGACCTAGTGTAGTTTTTGTGAGAATAGCACAAATTTGGTTTAAGTGTTCTTTTGTTGTCAAATATTCACGTCGCTCCGGTCGCCCTGTAATGGATAAAATGGTAGCCATTTTTAAAAAGTGGAGCAAGATCGGTATATCGGTAGTTGCGTAGCTGAAGAACTGGGGATTAACCACAAAACAGTTTTGACGCATTTTGAAGAAGCTGATGACTGGTGATGAAGAGTGGTTCACAAGATAATCACAAGAACATGAAAAAGGTAGTAGTCAAAGGTCTGTCAGACTTCGCAGACTGTGGCAAAATCCGGGTTAACTCACAAGGTGATGCTAAATATATGGTGGGATTGGAAGGGCACTATTAATAATGAGCTGTTATCGCCAGGCAAGACCATTGATTCTGTACCCTACAAAAACAATAGAAGGAGTGTTTTTCACTAGATCTCACACATTTTTGCCACCCAGCAAAAATTAAGAGAGTTTGATTGAGAGGTGTTAATGCATCCGCCGTATAGTCCTCACCTTGCAAGTTCAGATTTTCACCTGTTTTGGTCTTCTCAGAATTCTTTAGGCGGTGTCAGGTTAACATCACGCGAGCACTGCCAAAACCACATGTCGCGGGTTTTTTATCATAACCGAAATTCTATAGCAATGGGATCATGTCCCTAACTACAAGATGGCAAAAAGTTATCGAACAGAATGGTGCCTACATACCTTAGTTAAATGTAAATAAACTTTATTAAAAATTGATTTAAATTTAACTAAAGTAGTTTTGAATTTTCATATAAAATGCGAAGAAATTTTTCCCCCAACCTGTTTCACTTTCACCCGGTCGGAATCCAATCTGTAACCACAGAGATGGCGACAGTATGAAAACTACTAACCAAGTGACTTTGGATTCAGCATTTTTTTTGTATATTAATTTCGTACTAATATTTCACCTATCATAAAAAGAAGAAGAAGAAACATTTATACCATAATATATTTCTTTTATATAAATTGTTGCTTTGAACGCAGGTGGTTCGAGCCACTCATCGATCGGTGGCTTGCTGTCACTAAGACTATGGCTTTGCAGAGGGTTCGAGTTGCCGTAGAATTGGGTATGTCATTAATATACCCCGTTATCGGAGGTGCAATTTAGTAGCTGGATGTTTTTATATAAGTACATTTTTTTTTATTTATATACTATATTTTATCAATTTTGCATTCACAATCCTATTATATTATTCATTAAAAAAAATTACCCATCTCTAGAAAGGTCTAACTACCAAATTGCATCTTCGTAAACATTGACATGTAATTTATTAAACGAAATTGTTAAACGAACTTATTTTCAGGTGATGTGTTACGCGTTCCAAATGTCATAAAAATCCGTTTACACAACTTTTATAATATAAGTGGGCCTACTTAACCGGAGATTCATGAGTTCATAACCTATATTTGTCGGTCCTACAGTTATACCTACAGCTTATTCACTACTAATAAATTAAATCTATAACCAATACTAAAACATAAAAAAATATGTACAAAGAAAACTTTTTTCTGAAAATATTAGAATCTCTAAATAAAGCGATATGAAAAAAATATCTTGTAATGATATTTCTTTCGAACACAAAAATGATAATAAAAAATATAATTCAACGAATTTTTCCTGAGCTTCCATGCTAATAATAATATCTTTTATTTTTGGCAAATAAAATATCAATAAAATCATTAATATTCTTAAATTAAACTTTCACAGAAATCATATAAGCTTTTTCAAGTTTTAGCGTTCATCAATAACTGCGGTACTCAATCTTGTTAAAATTATTTCTTTATTTGCTAAGGAAATCTTATTTTTAGTTCGTAGGTATATTATGAAATTTGCTACCACTAGACGCTTATGTCAAATAACGTGTAAGTCATAAGTTTACCCAGAATGTTTATAATTGAGAACATTACAAGTAATATCTGTCAAAAGTTTTCCGAATAGAACAGATGAAATGTGAAAATCTAAATTACATAAAAATCTACATAATAATTATTAATGGTTACATTGTCAGTGCTAATCTTAGATTAGTAATGAACAAATAAACATGTATCTTTATTATTCCAATGAATAAGCATATTGATTTAGCGCCATCACAATATTAAGTCACCGTAATAGATTTTATAAATTCAAAATCTACTTACGTAAATTTTGACTTAATTTATTACTTTCTATACATCTTAATTTGATAAGAAATACTTTTATGCCCCATAATTGTTCTCGGTCAAATTGAATTACAAAGCGTAAAGTTATAAACTCAATTTATGTTATCACCACTCACGCTGTAAAACTGACAACCTTCCAAATTCCGCTTGCACCATTTCCGAACCGAACTTATAAGCTGGTATCGTAAACTGCGCAAGAAATCTCCCATAACCGTTTGTTGAAATAGCGTTCTTAAATCGAAGGAACAGAAAATATTTTTGAAAAGAGAAGTTGACGCTGAGAGGGCAAAAGGCAAAGGTTCACACTGCGAGGGCGCCCAACCATTTAGATAAGTATCGAAATCCAAACTGAGCCGTAACACGAAACCTTTTATTGACTCCTGACAATTAGTGAGGCTTGTGAACTGTGCTCTAATTCCATGTATATTAGCAGTTATATAGGTACTCAGTATAGACTTAACGTCGTTAATAAATTTAGACAATTATCACCTAAATATTACAATCCATTTATTAAGAAGAAAACATATGACTATTATTTTTACATCACACGGTAGGGATATTATATTTTAATAAAACCTCAGTGTTTTTAAAAGGCGTAAAAGCTCTCCAATGATAGTATACAAAGCCTCACTTACTAGTTTCTTTCCAGCCTTATAGAGGAAATCCGAGATCGTGCCGATATTGAAGAAAGGGGATCAAATACATATCAAAAACTACACGCCTATCATATATTTTTCGTATTTTTCCAATATTTTCAACGTTCAGCTCTAGAAGTACCATAACAATCGCCACATATATATAAGACCACAAACAATATAGATTTAGAACTGGTTTTTCTATTCAAGTTGATGAATTTTGCGTTAGAATTCTTATAGAAATTGAAAAAGTTAATTCTAACTGTTGGTAATAATGTCTTTCTTATAAAAGTTGTTTGATTGTTATAATGTTATCGTTAGTCAATTGAATAGATGAAGATTCTTCCATTTTTTATTTATTCTTACTACATATATAAGTCGCAGTTCACTAAGTTTTATGTATTGTTACAAATATTTTCGTTTGTTTGTCTCTCAAAGATCGTCCGGTGGAAGGAGAGCACCTGGTAAAGCATAGCACATCTTCAGTAGACACAGCTGCGTGGTAAGTCCTGGTATAATTTATTAATAATCATATTGTTATATATGGTTGTTTTACGCCGAACGATAAAGCCATCTCATAAATATTTCGTGGTACGAATGCCAAATTACACGTACATATAAATAAACCATAAACTTTGGCCTACTGTTTTGTATGCGGTATCTTTAAGCATAGTTTTCCCTCATATGGTTATTTAAGAGACACTACTCATAATACAATTGGATTGCTTCTTTGTTCTTATGACTTATATGAAAGACGAAGTTTATTCCAAGAATACAAAATTCCTGGAAGTACAGATTTCAATTTGACCGGACGTGAATAAGTTATAGGTTGAATCTAATCGAATATTTAACACAAATTTTAATACCGAGAGTGGGGAAAAGAGGGCACTGGTTCGGAGCTTAATAAGAGTGACTATTTCGCATCTTTATTATATTTTTCTGATAATAATAAGTTTTGGTATTTCATGCTTTTAATAAGACTTTATGTTACACAACTAAATGAAATATGTTAAGTAGAAAACTGGCCAAATTGCCCCTGCGGATAAGATGGGTACTGTAGAGATATGAGATTATGTGCTTAAATTAAATTTGTAAGCAAACGTTCAGCTGGTGAGCTACTCAAACATAACTGCAATAAGTTTTTACTGCATCCACCGCATATTTACTGATAACAAAATAATTCATAATTCAAAAACCCATTAGGCCAGGATTTCAATTTTTTTATATTTTCGTTTCCTCTATACCCACTAGTTAACCTTACATACTAAACCTACTTTTTGCCTTTAGGTCACTTTATTATTAATAAATACTGATTTCATATTTAGAATCTTTTTAGACCTCTAGCTAATAGACAGTAAATCCTATTCTTCAGATCTGTAAATTGATTACCTTTTGCTCTTAAATTCATAATCATAATATAAAAAAAACTTTAATACTTCAGATCCTAACTGAATTGTATTAGTCAGTACAATGTTCTTAGCAGTACCTATGAATATTTATGAACTTAGATACATTTTTTCGGCCATCCACTAACTAAACTTGTACCAAGCTCTCTATTCCAAAGTTATACAAATAAAGTAGCCAATACCGTAAAATTATCAGCTTGACCGAGCTACGTTACGATGACTTCAGATTTTTTTTACTCCTCTCTCTCTCCATTATTAAAATGAGGTACAGAAAATAAATATTAAAGACTTACATAACGTCTACTGACAAATTATTAAAAATGTTGCATATCCATTTTATTGCGTATTTTCATGCTATAAAGATTTATTTTGTATACAAATCAGTTTTAATATTCGTATAGCCTTTGGCATTTCTTGTCCGTTAGTTTGTATCACATGCGTTTGGTGTGGCGTGCGATCGGTGGGTCCGAAGAGGGTACAGGTGGCGGCAGCCTACGCCTTCTGGAGGCAGCGTGCGCTACAGCGTTGCATTACGCTGACCTGGTTCACGGTGCCCTCGCTGACCAGGGTTACTACGAGAATCATGGTAAGTGGAACTTTAAAAACTTAAAACAAAAACATTGTCATTGCAAGATTATTAAAAACAAGATCTTGTTGTCAGATCAGATCATGCATATATTTGCAAATTTCCGGAAAGTTTACCTCTAACATATTGCACCATTTTATAAAGAAACACATATGTTATCATGCGCTATCTTTTCCCGGGCCACGAGTACTTTTATCTGATTTCTACCGTCAGCAGACTACGAACGAACCAGCTTATAAAATATTGAAACATCAGTCCAACCAACTTCCCTCCAACATGACTCGAATTCAAAATATGCGGAAGCAGCAAGTTGTAATGCGATTACAAACAAACGTACGTCCCTACATACTTAATATAGATTTAAGATTTCGTTTTTCAAACTGCTTTGTATGTAACAAGCCATGTATGTAGCCATTTAATAATTAGGAAGGCTATTATTTATTCTGTTATCAGGGGCTAACTGGAATTATTAAGAAATAAACTTAAGTTAACTGAAATCTTCAATATAGCCTAACTACTCTCATTTTAGCCGCGACATAAATGGGAGTTTTATTCATTTATTTATTACTAGCTTTCCGCCAACGGCTCCGCCCGCGTGATCTCTAGGGAACTGTTTATTTGGATATCGATTCATATCACGACACCGGATATAACTATAATGACATATTGAATAGTAAATAATGGTAGCTATGGTAACGTTTTAATTCTCTATTCTAAATTCCACTCTCATTTCCATCCCTTTATTTGCCGTTTTTTGGGATAAAATATGATGTAGCTTGCCGTAGATGAATAGTCCAGTAATTTCCGAACCTACACAAACAATTGTTTAATATATATACCAAACACACACACAAACAATTGTTTAATATAACAGTATATTAAACATTGTTTGTTGCGACAGCGCAAATCAGAGCTAGCTTTGTCTGTGAATCAAAATATGAAGTCATATTCAATTTTAAATCTGGTATTCCGTTTTAAAAGCTCTGTCTAACACAGATGGTATCGACAGACCAAAGTGACGACGAGCGCCGACAACGAAATTAGTCGTTTTCAATTTTATTGCGTTCCACATCGCTTGAATCGTTTCCGATCGATGGAATTTAGTTTCTATTACATTTACTTTTTTTACATTTGTACTCTATTAAGAAAATAGTAAAAAATACAAGTTCCAACACAATAGAAGTAATTGAAATCCTATATACGGGGAACTTTAAATATGATTCACGAAAATAAAGTCTAAACGGCGAAATTTCTATCTCATCCCAAAAATTTGTTTGTTGATACTGAAATTTAAAAAATATATATATTTATTTAATGTAGTATAAATGAATATTACAAAATATCATGTAAAATCATTCATCCCAAACTAAATGGTTTATAGTACTTTGTCATTTTAATTTTAAAATAATCATTATACTATCAGTGGGTATATATTCGCTATAATTTTTTTACTCCAAAATGGACATGCAAATACTTTCAAGGACCCCTTAATGTGACCATTCCGCGATATATTTTCCTTAAACACAAATACTCCTTGAATCGAGAGCAAACCTATTTTGTTATTGGTATTCGGAACACGTAAAAAAGATTACAGCAGTTTTCCTGGTGATTGGCCAGCATTTATTTTTAGTTGGGTGGGTACAACACAATATTGCTTTTGCCTATAGTCGTCACAATGGCGCCTCAACTTACGACTATAACTATATTAATCTCACTTGTCAATATTGTCTCGCAGCACGATAGACCATTGAACATGGCAATTGTTCTTCATAGGCTATAAACTTGTGTATATTCTGATGATAATTTCCCACACTTTCAAGAGGGTGTTATTCTACAGTGTACATAAAATGCATATGTTCATATAGTAATTGTGACATTATGCTAATATATCTGTTGTAGGATACATATAAATTGAGTTGATTTGAAAGTTGAAATCACATTTTTAAAGTAAAATTATGGTTATCCTCACTATTTGTGATTTTTACAATGGTAAAATATTAAAGTAGTTCATTATGTAGTTGGTAAGTTCATGATTAAAATACGAAGCATTCTTTGATCGCAGGTCAGAATAAAACAACGGAAGAGATTTGCACAATTGTGAACAATCTAGAATATGTCCGCCGGTCACTTGCAGAGTACGACGACGAACACATGTAAGTAATTTCTACATCGAATTAATAAGTTTATCATTATGATAAGTGTTTGATACTATTTTCAATTCAGCTCGCTAGCCAGAAGGCTCGGTTTCATCTAGGGGAGAACCTTTCAGTTACCTATTCAATAATAAAAAATGAGTGACCCTTTAAAATCCGCCACAAAGAAGTTAATAGCGAAGGGCTAAGAATGATAGAGGTGGAAAGGGATTTTATACTAGCGAAAACCGAGGGAAAAAGAAAAAAGTAAACAGAACATATTTTACTGACAGCTGAATATTACATAATATTTTAGTTTTTTTTACTATTTATTAGTTAAATTATAAAACGGGAAATATTAACATCAGCTGGGGAAGCTGTCATTTAATTTTTTTATTCAAATAATTGGATCACAAAAATTATCGTATGTATTATCCGTCTACGCCTCCTATTCTTTGAGATATTTCTTTGATACGTTTATAGGCATATGTTATAGGGAGCGTTATATTTTTATGGGCATATAAGTATTAAAGGGCATGCCATAGTTACGAGCTACCAAATTTAGACTTTTACAATATTAATTTTAGTAAAAATTGTTACGTAGTAAAAATATACTACTGTCATTAAAAAATATGGGTTAATATTCCGAAGGCGGGCGGAAAGTGCCAATGTGCTAATATCGATAACAATTAAGTATTTTTTTTTTCAGAAATCAATTTTAAATTATGGAGAGGAAGGGTTATCATACCCATAGAAAGACAACCTGCTCAAATTTGTCATAAAAACTTAATTAATGCTTTATGGGGAAATTACACATCGTGTAATACGAGACGACCTCAAATTATTTTAAGCATGTTTGTTAATGAACACCTGCCCATTTCGTGAAAATTAATTAATATCTTACGAACTCCGTAGATGAGTGGCTCGCACGCGGGTTTCATGTCTGAGGTCACGGGTTCGATCCCCAATCGAGAAAATAAAGATTTCTATAATTTCTTAGGTTCCTTTTTGGCAATCTTCATTGTTTCAGATATTCCATAATGCGATTTCTTTACAGTTACATTTATAATCGAAACATTCAAAATCTACAAGAAATATAATATTTTAGGTAACATTTATATTGACTTATATAATATTTATACTTATTAAACCAATAAGATAAAAATAATATTATATTTTTACATTTTAAACAAATTATAAGTTATCATAATAATTATTTATCTAGAACACGTAAGTCTAGAATTTTCTAATATCTCGTGGCCAATAAGACTTATACGAGCAAAACAAAGTGCAAGGGCATAATACCTATCTTTTCTCGAACCATTTTTTCGACACTCATATTTTGGATTTGGATTGTTATTTCTTATTATATTTTTTCTAAAAGCAATAAACTACTTTAATTTTTATTATCTTATTGGGACAGCATCGTACTGAAAGACTTCCATAACGAGAGTGCATCAATGCTTTTTGTGGTATTTGATTTATGAATTATGATATGAATTTATGAATTATCGTCTTTACCTATTTATTTCAGTAAATGTGTTCTTACTTTTTACTTCTCTATGAAATTATCTGTTTGATATAATGTAAAGGTATAAAGAAGAAAGTTTCTAATTAAAATTTTCATAATAAACAAAACACATGACATTATTTTACTTTATCCGATAGCAATATACCACAACACTAAAGCCACAGGTTCACAAATTAAATTTTAATAACAGCAATTTCATGAACATAACCTCTCTTTGATAGTAATTACACAACTGGCTAAAAGCTCTAAATGTGTTTAGATTATTATCGGCTATGTTTTGAATCATAAATGGAATTGTAATTACTGTTTTGTACCAGGATGGTGTGCGTTCCTGTTTGATGATATTCGTAATAAATATTTTTTTTTACAAACATACTGTAAATTGGATACTATGAAAATATGCCATAACCGCTAGCAAGAAAGATAATTGCCAATTGTTTGTTCTCAGCATGAAACGTTAAGAATGGTATTTGAAATTTATTAGTGCCGCAGTGATATTATGTTATAAAACTGAATCGGACTCGAATTTGAGCGCATAACTTTCATAACATACAGGTTCATTCAAATAAAACGTACTTCAAAAGGTAATAAAGGTTATATACCACCAAAGCTCTATCCTGTCACGATGTGGCGCTCGTCATTGAGTTTTTTTGTTTTTCAACAGAATAGCATCGCAGATCAATTTACTATACAGACTAATATCAAGTTTACGGGCTCTGTGGACATCATGAAAGAGCGAAAACTGCAAGCTTGCCGCGTAACTCGATTGACTTCAATTTGGTTGGCATATATTAAAGTTGAATATTTTATTGAAGATAATCTATATCGTAACGTTGACTTTACTCAACGCACATTTATACTACATACTGGATTTAACAATAAAGAATTGAACGTTTAGTGCATTTTGATTGAAACCAATGGCAATCAAATCGAAGCCAACTAATTTATGTGGTAGATGCTCAAACGTCCATTAAGATTAGGTGGCGAAATTGAGATTTAATGAATTTTCTAAAATTGAAAATTTGTGTCGGTAATGTCACATTAAACTAGTAAAATTTTAATAGACATTTGTGCAGCTGGCCGTAAGGATTCTCTAGCGCATTAGCTTTCCACTACCTTGTATGTTTTTATAACTTTATTTTTCCTCAATAATTTGTAATAAAGATAACACAAGTTACACATTGCTTTAAGGTTCTCAAATAGAACGGACCACTTAAGTATGACGACTGATGAGAATGCGCGTCAGCTTGTCCGCGGCGCGCTAGGAACACTGGACGCGCGTTCAGCACGCGCCGCTGCACCGCTTGCTGCATGTGCAAGACCACCTTTACGAAAAGCAGTCTTTCACTTGGCTTGGTCACCGGATACTCTCCCCACTTCACAAGTATAAGTTTTAACCATCTACTTCTTTATAATTTAACAAGATATTGCCGTGGACTGGTTTTCTTCTATTTTCAGAATCTTTTTATCGATATCGATTTCTTTATTCCTTTTTTTATGTTCCATATCTCAAAAGTAAATGTGGAAACCTTATTAGGTCGCTTGTATACGTCACAGATAATTTCCTCCGAAAGTATTAAACCAATTACGGAGAAAATTTATACAGACATAGAAGTCAGTGACCCAATGGGCTGTTACACAGGAGCTTCTTGCGGCGAATAATAATAGAAAAAAGTTTAATAAACTACATGGTATGACTTATCCAAGGAAAGGATTGTTGGAATTATTTATTTAAAAAAAAAAGATTAAAAACGGGCATATGTTTATAGCAACGTTATGGGTAACATTACATAATTGAGCGAGGATTAATTTCAATTAATTTTTCTCTAAAGTCACAGAGGAAATTCACTTTATCTATTATTATTGGGGAATAGTTTCGTGAGCTTGCAGGATCTACACAATTAAAATAGGTCCTGTTACTATACCGCTAATACATTGTCTATTATGACACGATACACAGTAGTCTGCCAATTAAAATATTTATGTATTTGAGATATTTAAGGTAAAGAATAAACTAAATGCTGAGTTAGATATTTTGGACAGCAATATTTAATAGTAATAGTATCAAATAAAGATTTAATCATTATTATGATAAAAATAGTTTTGAATATAAATATTTATTGCCAGCTACTAAGTTCGTGTTTCAAATAAAACAAATATTTTCCAGTACAGCATTGTAAATGCAAAATTGATCAAATACAAAAATAAGATTTTAACATAAGTACATAAAAAAAATACATTTTCTTACAAAAAGAAATATACCCAATTACTGTTTTGTAACACACTCCGACGACATTTTTCCGACATCTTGGATAGGTCACCATCAATCATCGTCATACTTCCGTCAATTTACACAAATCTAAACCTTCCTTAAAATATTTTCATTTAATAGCAATCGCATGAAAATTCTTTACAGGCGATAAATATGACGGAAGAATTTCGTTTTATAATGTGTAGTTTATTATTTTTTAAAGTCGGTTAAAAATAAAAAAATAATGAACACTAGGTATAACTAGACATGACAGTATGACACTAGATATGTAACTAGATAAGTGTATATGGCACTTTATAAGTTCATCTCTCATTTCTATAACAATTTATTATTATTTAGGCTATCACACCTCTCCTGGAGTTTTTGGACCAACATTTGTCCTCGCTCAATACTTGGCTGCTGCCACGGGCGTTCACTCGAGCCCTGGCCGGATGTTGGAGCGCCGTGCTTAAAGAAGTGTCAACGCAGGCTGACGCTGGTGGCGCTGAAAGACCGAGAGTCTACCATCATAGGCTTAGGGAAGCTTTAGATCTATTGGCTGACTTCTTCCACGCTGAAGGAAAAGGTACTTTTATTTTATTTTATTTTATGTTTTTAAGTTATGTATAGTGTCGTTATATATATGTAGTTATGTAATGTCTCAAATTAATCAAAATTTTTCACAAATCAAAGTTTTGATTTTATTCTTATTTTAACTGAAACGGCATGTTTTTTTTTTGGGTGGTTGACTTTCCTGTTGGTACTGCGATTCAGGTGTATATTTCTTAAGGGTCTATATAATAAGCTAGATAACACTGTTTAATTAGGTCAGAATTTGTTTTTTTTTTTTGTTTCGGCGTTAACTTGCCATAAATATAACAAAATAAATCAGGACTGTTTACGCATACCCATGACATTTTAGAAGATAGTTATGAAACTAACGAATACACTGTATCTCATTTTCAATACACTTTTGAACAATTAAAGGTGGTAAAATAATAAAATTCCAATATCTCCATTTCCAGATGGTATAAATAAAATGTCTACAGTTATTTATTACAAGTCAACCTCGTTATAAAATAATATGAACCGGATAGATTTTTTTTTTTAGTGTTGAGCAGTGTATAATTTTAAGATGTTTAAATTTTAAAGAAATACTTTAGAGCTCTTGTATTTTATGTTTTTAAGTTCTCGTCAATATAATCAATTCATTACATATTACCAGTTTATATTTTTTTTTAAATCGATTTAATCAAAGAGATATTCAACTTATAAAATTAGGTTATATGTAAATAAGTTGTAATATAACACAGGGGTATATGAATGGACATACTAATTGCTATTTAGTCTCTGTTTAGGCTTAAATATAGTAGATTTATATTGTGAAGAAAATATATATAAGAAAATGGATCTTCTACGTAAAGGCTAAAGATCAAAATCGTGACTTTTTATTAGAATTCGGGTCATGTTTCAATGTGGTAGATATATTTTCAAAAGTTGGTAATTTATATTTCAATACACTTTCGAAACATATTTTTAAGCTACAGAAACCTACCTTTTACTAACTGTATTTGTAACAGTAAACTTGTTGGTTTATGGATATGTCATAATCTCCAAAATATTTCTTTGGCCCGTATATACTACAAAATATAACGATAAGAATTATTGTGATTATTTGCGATGGTACGTAAATCATGTCGCAAATGTTTCTACAGGAAATTTGATAAAATACATGGCATGGCACATCCAGCTATGGACAATTTATTTAATTTAAAGTTTTCGCACGAGTTTTAATGCCTATATCATTGAGCTTTTACCACTTGATATTATTGTTCACGTTGGCTTGGTGACTTAATACAATTGATCTCGTCAAAGTGCGATTCTCAGTAGAATGAAATATTTTGTGATTGAAATTCATGGTTTTCAGTAAAATTGACAAACTTTAACCTGTCTATTATGAACCCTTTAATAACAAATAAAAAGTTTTAATCAAATATTTAAAACTATTTGTTTCAAAAATGCCATAAGAATTAAATACTTTTAACAATATTTACACAGTGCCCTTCAAAGGATCTGGCGTATAAATTATCTCTTATAATATTAAACAATGTTACATACAAATTTTGCCGCTATTCAAAAATCCTGAAATACTTAATTTCTGTCATTCTGAATTTCTAACTAAGTAGCTAAATAGGTATCAACTTTTTTAAATTTAACTCAATAACTGATGGAAATTTAATTTAAACTTTATCCCCACCCTGTTATTAACCCCCTCGAGGAACGAATCTATAAAGCAACTAGTTTTCTGCGAACGGGTTCGCTATTTTGATGGATAAAACGTACACAATATTTTAATTCAGGCTTGGAATTATTCTTACATCAAATTTTATCAAAATATGTTTAGCAGTTTATTCGTGAAAGTGTAACAAACTTACAAACATATATGTACACTACTAATAAGTAGGAAGTAGGTTTAGATGGACTACGTTCAATACAGACCTTTGGAAAAGCAGCGATATTAGTTAGATTGCAATCTTTACCAGCGTAAGTTATAATAAGATTATCGTTTCTCTCAGGTCTTCCGATGCACGAAGTTCATAATATTGAATGGGGTCGTGTAGAACAGAGAATGCAGTATCATCAGGCACCCACTGAAGAGCTCCTAGAGATTTGGCTCGCCGATAGATTGGCAGAACAAATGCGTACACCTTTACCTTCGCCATATGGTTCGATTCTTGTCAGGTATGGTTATTTTTCAACACCTACCTAGATACCTAAAAATTAATTACTCGTACTCCTTCTAAAATAATGGATTTTTTTATGATATAACATGTGATGGATATAAATATATATCCGTATATTTGTAATAATAATTGGACACATAAAAGATAGAAGGAGATTTGTAATACAGAAATTGTATAAAATTATCACGTGACCTTATGATCGCCGTAATATCCATAGGGTCTATTTCAACCACGATTCGCTGTGCGTGGAGGTGATGTCGGCCCGTGACGTAATCCCCCTTGATCCGAACGGGTTGAGCGACCCGTTTGTTGTATTGGAACTTCTACCGAAACGACTCTTCCCAAAAGCGCACGAACAGAGTACTAATGTGCAGAAGGTAAAATTTTTCATTATTTTAATAGATTCAATATTTACTACAAAAGGTAATAGGTAAAAGTTTTATTTCATAGAACATCAATGTTGTAACAGTGGTGTGCCCGACGTCGAGTTCGTGGCAAAACTATTCTAACAGACATTGATCTCCCAAAACCTGTTAAATAAAGTCAGTTTTTTACAAGCAAGTTTTCTGTGTCTCCTACAAAATGGTAAATTAACAAAATGGCTTATACAATGAACATGAACAGTGCTTCAATTTTGTCAATTTAATCCGTTTTCATACATCCACACATTTTAAACAATTCGTATGTACTTAATGTGATTTTTTTAAGAAAACGTTGAACCCCGTTTGGGACGAATGCTTCGAGTTCACCGTTTCGTTGGAGTCGTGTCGGTCAGCCCAAGCGGCGTTGTCACTATCGGTGTGGGACCGCGACGTACTTACAGCAGACGATTTCGCCGGCGAGGCGTTCGTTGCCTTGGCAAGAATACCGGGCGTAAACAGGTAGGTAAACAATAAACTACTAATTCCATAAAATATGAGATACATATAGTTAAATATAAAGGACAATACACAATGTGAATTTTTCGCTTTGGAATAAACAAAAACCTAGAACTAGGAAAATACTCATGGCTATGCATTAAATGTTTATTTTTATTAAATAATGCAATAGATTATTGAATATTTACAAAAGATTTAAGACAATAGTGTGGAATAAACCAAGCGTAATATAAAATTCTATGTTTAAGATCCTTTTTCATCTCCTTTATAATATTACTATTATTTTATGTATGATAAATATAAGTTCTAACCTAACCTAACCTAACCTAAACAGCCACGCACCGCCTGATCCGTTGCGCCCGCTCGAGCTACCGCTGATGCAGCTACACGACAGAAGTGAGTCTTTATACTGGCTGTTATATTACCAAAAAAACATTACACAGTTTTATATATAGACACATTATATACTTTTTATAACTATCTCATATGCTCACTATTGAACAATAACAGATTTATACTTCAAAAATTAAATTTTTTATCACTTTTAACGAAGTAGTAATAAACAATAAATTATAAGTTTAAATGATACTAAATTTATAACTAAATTAGAAACATAAAAAATAATAATATATCTAATCAAAACGGTTCAAAATATATTAACATAAATTGTCACATATTACTTTTTTTTATTGGCACCAATTATAAAATAATTTCACATTTTTCCTGAATTTTATCCCTGAACTAAATGTTTTTTACCACTATTAACTTTAATTATGGCTCAGTTACGATGGTCGAGAAGATCAACAAACGGTGAGGGCGACTTCTGCGCACCGCACGCGAAAGGCATCGACCAGTATAACTGAGCCATAAAGCAGAATATGTAATGAAAATTCAGCATAGCTTTTTCTTACAGATTTCATAAGTCAGACTATTGTAAAAATTCGTGGCATCAGGACGCAAGAACAGTGCTCGGCGGCGGCTTGGCCGTAATAAATTATAGATTTTTTTTCTTCAAGAATAAACCAAGAGAGTGCCATCCCAGCTACTCTTTTTGTAACTTTTTTTTTTTTTAAAGTCATTTCACGGCGCTGCGACGCCGGCGCGGCGCCCATGTTTAATACTTATAATTAAACAATCTCTGTTAACAATTACTTGTATAGTCCGAAACATTACGCCGTCTGTTATCGAACATATCTTTCTCATTAATAACACTCGTGATAAATATGGTATTACCAGTTTTTAAGCGATAATAATATATTAATATTCTAAAAAAAGCAAATCAAAACATATATAAGCCCATTGCTTAATTTACAGATCATCCCATTCTACAAATATTGGAGTCCCGAACTACCGACAAGATGGCTATGGATTTCGTCAAGAAACAAAAGTTACGGTTCGCTGAACAGTAAACATTCGTCTTCAGATTTCTATTTTCATATTCAGTTCCGTTATTTAAATTACGCACAACGTCCATTAAAATGTCGACAATATATTTAAATATTTAACAAAAAAAAGTTCGATATTTATAAAAACAAATATTTGGTTACAATATATACGAGTATTTGTATTTACTTATTTATTAATAATATTGAGATTTGAAATATTAATGTTAACACATCAGTATTAACTTAATGTATAAATTACTACAAAGACTGTGTAATTCTTCTATTCATGAGAGAAATAAAAATTGTGTAACTACGTGGACTTTCCAAAATTTTATAAATGTATAGATGCACCCTCGGAGCTTATGTCCCTAGTTGTTAGTCTCTATTAGAAATTCCCGACCAAGTACTTTAAGACTCGTTGTTAAACATTAAATATTTCTTATGCTGACGACCTTAGAATATACTCGACACTATCTGAATAACATTTGCACCGCAACCTTTATCTTATTATGATAAACTTGGCTTTGCTCGTAGAAATTAGTGGCGCAGTAGGAATTAATTTAGGGTCAGTGCAAATCTGACAGAAGATTCAACAAACGTCTCACGGAAATATGCGTATATAAACGATCCCCACCGGACGGTTAATACGTCGCGTTCCAGCATGGGTAGCACGACTAACTCAAGTACGTTTTATCTACACCCAAATGTCACTTCTCCCGGGGACGCCCATGCGATATTAATTTATTTATATCCTGGGATACCAACAGCACATGATACTTATATGTGAGCTTTAGATTAAATCGCAGATAACCAATAAAAAGTTTCACACGCATAATTAACTATCAGTGCGGACATATCATGATACATTAATATATTTACTCCAGAAAGCTCACTGTGAACTCGAGATAAGTGAAATTTGGTATAGACAAAGCGTTTTTCAAGTTCGTCATGCTACGCGCGCTGCAGAAGGAAGATCTCTCTTTCAGCAAATATAACGCTTTGTGACGCAGTCAGTTTTAGTCACGGTATTGATGTGTCCTACTGTTACTTGTCGTAATTACTTTTGTTCATATATTGGTGGAATGGGATTGGTATTACTGGCTAAACGTCACCTGCGGGCAGGCCAAGCGGAGCCGATCAGACTTGACAATCCAAGCAGTGTAAACTCTATTAATTATATAGAAGTCTCAATTTCCTTTAGCATAGTGTGAAATGCGGTCTGTCTGACGCACTCCGTATATAGCGATGCATCTTCCGTCAGATATGAACCGTCCCTTAGACGTGGGTGAAGTCGCACCAGTTAGACGCTTTTCATTTAGTATCTGTCCCCAAAACCTATCACGTAAGGCTGACGCTAACAGTAATTGAAGGTTGAAGGCTCATTATCATTTATCAACAATCCGACGCGCAGGACATTTATGTTATAAATTCTACAAGGTTCATATGCGGATGATTATTTTCATCCAACGATATCGGGTTCTGAACTAAGATTTTTGGAAGACAAATATTACTAATTGACAGCCTCCATAGCCATAGCCGAGGGGCTTGCTCACCGATATCAAGACATCGCTATCTTTCAAGTCCCTGGATTCGATTCGCGGTCGAGTCAATGTAGAATAAAGAGCTTTTCTAATTTACTTCAGGTTTGGATATAATGGTACCTTCGTTATTTCAGATATACCTAATACGAGCGCTTTAGCTATTTATCTTTAAATCTGAACAATGAATGTGATGTTGTCTTATTTTATTTATTTATTGAGCAATCAGAGGTGTTAAAATAATGGTTTTATTGACTTGACATTTTTCGTTGTTGTAACTATGCTTTCAGAACACATCGACCTATGACAATGAGCCTTGATCGAAATCTGTTCTTTATTCGACTGACCTCGTCCATGCCTAGCTTCGCCACTAAATAGAAACTTAGCCATATTCTTCTTTAGTAACTGAATACTTGATAATCTATTGAAATATATTTTAAATCTGATATATCTTTTGTATAATGTATGCTTTTATACAATCAACGTATTTATTGTGTCGCGCCAAAAGCGCTTCAATCACCTTGTCCGTCGCATAAACTTTACATAATGTCTTTGATGACTGATTTTCATGGTTAGTTTAATATATGTGTATTATAAAATTTTATAAATCTACATAAAAAATGTTCACTGTGTATACAAAATACAAATTGATAAATTATATTATGATTGTACTTAGAAAGAAATGTATTGATGTTTGTAATTAGAAATTGAATATACTGAAATATTATTAAAATGTAATTTTAAGGATAATTAAAATTGTATCAAATATTATTGAGGCGGTTATGTGAAATGCGTTTGTATGGCGTGACGTAATACAACAATTTTATGGAAATTGTAATAGATTTTTTATATCATTACACTTCGCACGTGTATATGTGTCATACTGGATATGATTCTGCATCTAGCGTCAGGCTCAAGATCTAAAGGAAACTATATAAATATTGATCGTGCATTGCATTACCTGCTTTTTTATAAACAAACTTTTTTGATGATTCGTCAATATCGGAAACTTATTCAGTATATCATATTTTAAAAACATTTTTTATCAAGAATGCCTTTGACTTATTTTACGAAACCGATGTTTTTCTTGAATAAAACAATATGCCCAAAGAGACTCAGGCTAAATACGGCAATATTCATCTTAATAGAAGTTATCGAACTAATAATGAAATTTCTTTATTATTAACCCACCCTACATTTAATCATCTGACGACGAAGTTTAATGATAAAATTATTAACATGTTTCATCTTCTTCTTTTTTTAAATTAATAGCTTATCTGCGTATTTGGCACAATTCTGCCAATGTCAAGTAAATAAATTAATTTTTACATGTAAAATGAAAATGAAATGGATGAAAGAGTGAGTCATGTTTTGTACGCCAAGAATATTCGATTATGAATATCAAATTATCAAGCATTTAATGAGTTGTGCTGCCTACAAATCAAAGACTAAACAGTCGACATACAAAAAGCCGAAAATTAAAAAATTATACCTACAGATAAATATTGCTGTATCTCAGGCTAACAACCCTCAAGCAAAAGGTCGTTGGTTCGAATCTAGCAGGACAGTTATTGTTATTCAATAACCATATCATAATATCCACATTATCTTTATTAAAATAAAAGATTAAAATCAATCCGATATCAATATGACAAATTACCAATTTAACGTCATACAAACGAAAGTAGAGTCGATTACAAAGACATGTTCGGCAAATTTAAAAGAGAGTTGTTGGAATAATTCAATTAAATGATATAAGTATAAGAGTCATCAATTATACAGAAATGAAAGAATGGAAGGTTTATAAACCGATCAGCGATATTTGTAATGTATTTTATTAAATATATTAATGTTTCGACTAATTGTAACAGTCGCTAATCATTACAAATTCACTTCGCTAAAAGCTCAAGTTTATAAATACTAATACACTAACTGTCTGTATTTTGACAACTTGCTCGCTAGAAACAATTGAAACATCACATGTGTATATTTGGCCGCTTTTCAACTTTTGAAGTGCTATTAGGCGTAAAAACAATTGTTAAAACGAGATAAGAGTCTCGTAGGAAACTTTTAAGAACGTTTCACTTTGGTGAATAGGCTAAAAAAAAGATTATTCTATATAATAACTTTTTGTTCGTTTCTGTGAAAGAGGAGTATTCATTGAATACAAATTCGATTCCTCTTAAATTATAATACGTTAAATTTTCTACTCTCGTGTGTGCTAAATGTGCAATTACCGCCATTGGTAATATATAGCTTTGGTAAAGCCTAATCATATCTTACTGAAATCTAACCATATCGCTGAGCTTTTATAACTTATATGGTATTTTTATGGTTAAAATCATATCACAAATGAATCTTTACATATAAAGGGCATGTAATATTATTCTATTTATATACCAATATTTTGAAACAAAAAGGTAACCAATCGTTATGAACCTATATATCAAAAAAGACCATTCTGAGAGTCAATTATTTACCAAATCATAGATAGCGATATCAGTATGAGCTACAACCTCATTTAATTTATCTGAAGATAAGTATATCTATTTTGAGATATCATTATGCATATTTTCTTTATATACTCGTATTTAAAATGCAAACGGAAACCAGGAAACTATAACTATACTACTAATATATTCGAAATTAAATAAAATCTAGAATAAGCCTGGCCACGCATTCGTTTTCCATGTTCAATATCCTGATGAGAAATTCCAATTTGGAGACCCGAACACGCGCCTTTTATATAAGTATACAGACACGTCCAGTTTGTTTCGAATAGAGCTATTCTGTAGAAATCCGAACCCAAATTCGAATTGTTTCATTCACTTTAAAAGTGACATTCGTTTAACCTTGAATATGTGTAAACGTTTCATGGCATAACTGAAGTGAGTTTCGAATTAACATAAGGATAAAATATCTGAGACACTTATACTTTACTTATATTTTAATACAAAAAATGTAATCAGTAGAATATCTACATTAATTAAAGTTTTCGAAGTGAATTCGGTTCGGATTTTTACGAAATCGCAGGGCAGCTCGAAAAACCCCTGACGTTCATATAAAAGCCCTACTTCAGAGTCTCCGAATCGGAATTTCAGATTAGAAAATCAAACACGCAAAAATGAATGTGTTTATTTATTATATATTAAAAAATGACAGACGGCACCGCCTTGACAGTTGATTTGTAAAAAGAAAAAAAAAAGTAGAGATACTTTCTACATAGAAAAACTACCATATTATATGTGTGATTATGTGGAAACCCTGTTTGATTAAGCATATGACTACATATTAAATTAAATAAATGTAGAAGTAGTTACAGTACCGTATAACGAAACTGGAAATGTCTGTGTCTGATTATTGATTACTAAATAATAATATATATTATTAATTTATGGCAATGTATCAAACTTTATTGAATGTATTATTAACACTTGTGTTCCAGGCTTTAATAAATCTATGAAGTAATGAATGTGTTATTTTTCG